CCACTGGTATCCTCTGAACTCCTCTCCCTCTGGCCTTCAACCCTTACTGACCCCTCTTCTCCTCTCATCCTCCTCCACAACACCCTCTCCTCCACACTCGATACTCTTGCTCCCATCACCTCCCGTACTGTCTCCTACTCTCGCTCCTCCCCTTGGTTCACCACCCACCTCCGCTCACTGAAGAGCCAGGTGCGGCCGCTGAATGCACCTGCGTCAAATCTGGCCTAACAGTCCACCGACAAATCTGGGTGGACCTCCTCAAAACCTACCGCTCCACTCTAGCCTCGGTCAAATCGTCCTTCTACTCCAGGATAATCCTGGAGGCGAAGAACAACCCCAGGCTACTGTTTTCTACCACATCCCGACTCCTCCGTCCCCCCCGCCACCCCGCGCAGGTCATCTCCTCCAACCTTCACTGCGAGGAGATGCTGGATTTCCTTGAATCCCAAATCAAGGGAATTCGCTCCGCGGTCACTTCCCCTCCAACATCCACCCACCCCCCCACCCCCTCCCTCCCACACTCCGACTCCTACCCATCCTCCCCTACACACTTCGTACCCGTTTCCCCACCCTCTGTCACCAAACTTATCCTATCCCTGAAACCCACCACCTGCTCCCTTGACCCCATCCCCACTCTACTCCTTATCTCCCAGCTCCACATCCTTGCCCCACATATCACAGACATCGTCAACCTGTCACTCTCCTCCGGCTCTGTTCCCGTTCCCTTAAAAACTGCCACCATCACTCCCACCTTGAAAAAACCCTCCCTTGATGCGTCGCAGCTATCAAGCTACCGGCCCATCTCCAACCTCCCCTTTCTCTCCAAGGTCCTGGAAAGAGTTGTCGCCTCCCAACTGCGCTCTTTCCTTTCCACCCATTCACTTTTCGAACCCCTTCAGTCAGGTTTCCGTGCTGCCCATAGCACAGAAACTGCCCTGGTCAAGGTCACCAATGATATCCTGACCATCTGTGACCAGGGCTCCCTCTGCCTCCTCGTCCTCCTCGACCTATCGGCAGCATTCGATACGGTCGACCACGCTATCCTACTCCACCGCTTGTCCTCCCACCTCAACCTTCAAGGCACTGTCCTTGAGTGGTTTAGGTCGTACCTTTCTCACCGTCTTCACTTTGTCTCGACGAATGGCTTCTCCTCCACCCCCCGTACTGTCTCATGTGGTGTCCCTCAGGGCTCTGTCCTCGGTCCCCTCCTCTTCACCCTCTATATGCTCCCCCTTGGTGACATCATCCGCAGACATGGAGTTAACTTCCACATGTATGCGGATGACACCCAACTCTACCTTTCCTCCTCTACCCTCAACTCCACGACCACCGATGTCCTGACAGCTGCCTGTCCGACATCGAGTCCTGGACGAGAGACAACTTTCTTCAGCTCAACGTGCGAAAAACCAAGGCCCTCCTGATTGGCTCACGTCAGCGCCTCCGCACCTCAGGCGCTGACACCATCAGCATCCAAGGCTGCACTCTCCACCTCTCAAAGCCAGTCAGGAACCTCGGCGTTTTGTTCGACCCTGAGCTGTCCTTTCTCCCTCACATCCGCACCACAACTGGCACCGCCTTCCATCACCTCCGGAACATCGCCAGACTACGGCACTACCTCACCCCTCACGCTGCTGAAACCCTGGTTCACGCCTTTATCACCTCAAGGCTGGACTATGGGAACTCTCTCCTCGCCGGCCTTCCCGCCACCTCCCTCCACAAGCTGCAGGTCATTCAGAACTCTGCAGCTCGTGTACTGTCCCGCACCAGGCTTCGGACCACATCACTCCCACCCTCGCTCGCCTCCACTGGCTCCCCATCCCCCAGAGGATCGATTTCAAGATCCTCATCCTCACCTACAAGGCCATTCACGGCCTTGCTCCCTCCTACCTCTCCAACCTACTATCCCCCTACCTACCTGCCCGTACCCTCCGTTCCTCCGGCTCCGGTCTGCTCCACGTCCCCCGCCCCAATCGCCCTACCATCGGTGGTCGGGCCTTCAGCCTCTCAGCCCCAGGCTCTGGAACTCTATCCCCCAGTGCCTTCGCCTTGCTTCCTCCCTCTCCTCCTTCAAGGCCGGTCTCAAAACCTTTCTCTTTGACCGAGCCTTCAGCTCCCCTCTCGACTCTCTTCCCCCTCCTCGCTCCCTCCCTTCCCTGCCCTCACCCTGACCATTTCCCCCCTCCTCGCTCCCTCCCTTCCCTCCCCTCACCCTGACCATTTCCCCCCTGCTCAGGTCATGACCCAACTGTGCAGCGCCTTGGGACGTCCTCCTGACGTGAAAGGCGCTTTATAAATGGAATCTTGTTGTTGTTGTTGTCGCAGCTATCAAGCTACCGGCCCATCTCCAACCTCCCCTTCCTGTCCAAGGTCCTGGAATGAGTTGTCGCCACCCAGCTGCGCTCTTTTTTCTCCACCCATTCATTATTCGAACCCCTTCAGTCGGGTTTCCGTGCTGCCCATAGCACAGAAACTGCCCTGGTCAAGGTCACCAATGACATCCTGACCATCTGCGACCAGGGCTCCCTCTGCATCCTCGTCCTCCTCAACCTATCGGCAGCATTCGATACAGTCGACCACGCTATCCTCCTCCACCACTTGTCCTCCCACCTCAACCTTCAAGGACCTATCCTTGAGTGGTTTAGGTCGTACCTCTCCCACCGTCTTCACTTTGTTTCCACGAATGGTTTTTCCTCCAGCTCCGCACTGTCTCGTTTGGTGTCCCTCAGGGCTCTGTCCTCGGTCCCCTCCTCTTTACCCTCTACATGCTCCTCCTTAGTGACATCATCCGCAGACATGGGGTTAACTTCCACATGTATGCGGATGACACCCAACTCTTCCTTTCCTCCTCAACTCCATGACCACCGATGTCCTGACAGCCTGCCTGTCCGACATCGAGTCCTGGATGAGAGACAACTTTCTTCAGCTCAACGTGCGTAAAACTGAGGCCCCCCTGATTGGCTCACGTCAGTGCCTCCGCACCTCAGGCGCTGACAGCATCAGCATCCAAGGCCGCACTCTCCACCTCTCAAAGCCAGTCAGGAACCTTGGTGTTCTGTTCGACCCTGAGCTGTCCTTTCTCCCTCATATCCGCTCCACAACTGGCACCGCCTTCCATCACCTCCGGAATGTCGCCAGACTACGGCACTACCTCACCCCTCACGCTGCTGAAACTCTGGTCCACGCCTTTATCACCTCAAGGCTGGACTATGGGAACTCTCTCCTCGCCGGCCTTCCCGGCACCTCCCTCCACAATGCAGGTCATTCAGAACTCTGCAGCTCGTGTACTGTCCCGCTCCAGGCTTCGGGACCACATCACTCCCACCCTCGCTCGCCTCCACTGGCTCCCCATCCCCCAGAGGATCGAATTCAAGATCCTCATCCTCACCTACAAGGCCATTCACGGCTTTGCTCCCTCCTACCTCTCCGACCTTCTATCCCCCTACTTACTTGCCCGTACCCTCCGTTCCTCTGGCTCCGGTCTGTTCCACATCCCCGGCCCCAACCGCCCTACCATCTGTGGCCGGGCCTTCAGCCTCTCAGCCCCTAGGCTCTGGAACTCCATTCCCCAGTGCCTTTGCCTTGCCTCCTCCCTTTCCTCCTTGAAGGCCGGTCTCAAGACCTTTTTCTTTGACCGTGCCTTCAGCTCCCCTCTTGACTCTCTAACCCCTCCTCGCTCCCTCCCTTCCCTCCCCTCACTCTGACCATTTCCCTCCTGCTCGGGTCCTGACCCAACTGTACAGCTCCTTGGGACGTCCCCCCGACGTGAAAGGCGCTCTATAAATGGAATCTTGTTGTTGTTATTGTTTAACTTTAAACAGAGCTGGTTAGGTTTTCTCACCTGCTTCTTATTGAACGTCAACAAGACCGAGGCTCTAATGATTGGCTTCCATCAGTGCCTCCTACCTCAGGCGCTGACAGCATCACCATCCACGGTTGCACACTCCACCTAGCTAAGCCAGTCCAGAAACTTAGCGTCTTGTTTGACACACAACTGCCCTTTCTACCCCACATCTGCGCCGTGACCTGCTCTGCCTTCCCCCACCTCCGCAACATTGCCCGACTCCGCCACGGTCTCACACCGCAGGACGCCGAAACCCTCATACATGCTTTCATTACATTAAGGCTTGACTATGCAAACTCATTGCTTGTCGGCCTCCCCAACTCCTCCCTCCATAAGCTGCAGATCATCCAGAACTCTGCAGCCCATGTCCTCTCCTGCACCAGGTTCCGTGATCCTATGACCCCCATCTTCGCCCGACCCCACTGGCTTCCCATCACACTGAGGATACAGTTCAAGATTCTGGTCCTCAACTTCAAAACCCTCCATAGTCTTTGCCCCCCTCCTCCCCACCTCTGCAACCTCCTAACCCCCCACCATCCTGCTCGCACCCTCCGCTCAGCAGGCTCTGGCCTGCTTCACGTTTCCCTCCATTTCCCCACCCTCTGGAACTCCATCCCGCAGTCCCTCCACCTTGCCCCTTCCCTTGCCTCCTTCAAGACCCATCTCAAGAACCTCCTCTTTGACTGGCTTTCGATCTCCCTGCTTCCCCCCCAGCCGTCCAACCTCCCCAATCCCAACCCCCAGCACCGATCCAAAACTCTGACTGTCCAGCGCCTCGGGACATCCTCCCGACATGAAAGGCACTACACAAATGTAAGTTTGTTGTTGTTGTTATTAATTCCTAATGATTCCTATTTCTATTTTTCCACTTATTTTTATATAAGCACCTCCTTCCCCTTCTGACCGAATTCCCGCTCTCACCAAATTCTTTCACAAAGTCTCATTCTGTTGCTACCTCACTCCTTTCCCAGCTCACTCTGTTGGGTTCTCTGCTCAAAATCAAAGGGCTTCCTTTCTTGTAATCTCATGAGATCTAAAGTTTGCGCTTTCATTTTGGATATTGTGCAGAAATCACTAACAAAGTGCATTTTGAAACTACTTTATTGGTGTGTGTTTTTTACCACACTTTACAAGAACCATCACATAAATCCAAGCCAGTATGTCTGTAGAACACATGATTTATTGCAGATAACTAACTCTTCTGGTGTAGTTCACTGGTAGGGTTCATATCACCCGGTAATTGCTGTCTGACACTTGTGTTTATTCCTGTTGAAGTCAAATAACCTTTTACGAAAGAAAAAAAACAGTGAAGCAGTTTGAAGACAAAACATTGAATATTAAAAGTGAAACCTTAAAAAGAAAGGCAAGGCTGAGAATGAGTAAAATTTCATAACTTTCAAACTGGAAATGTTAAAATAGTTAAAAAGATTTTTTATACCTGACGGAAATCGTTCTTGCAAGACCATCACTAAGCTCTTTGACCACACCAGAATTCATCCTGTGAAAATATTGAATAGGAATGGGCAAATTAAGTAGTTGAAGAATGTTCAGTATAAGATTGATCAAAATGAACCCAATCAACAACAACAACTCGCATTTATATAGTGCCCTCCATGCAGGGTAGAGTCCCAGAGTTTTTTAAAAACATTTTTTAAAGTAAATTTGATTAAAATTACAGATCATTTATTGCGATGGTTTATGTTGTACCTTTTATTTTTAGAATGAGATATCTAACTAGTTTAATAATAACAATAATAATCCTTGCATAGAAAGACAGGGGAATTCCTCCTTAGGGCGAGGTAAGCAGGGTCTGGCTTGGTCTGGCTCCAAGGTGATCTGCTTGGCAACTGAATGTTGGAATCGCGTCAACCCTCTAGTGCAGTCCAGTTCCTGAGCCAGGTGGGTCCATGGTAATCCAGGACACTGCTGATGACAGACCAGCCACACTGCCTCATTGGCAGGACTTCACTAGGAGCAGAAATTCTTCCACTAACTGTTAAACCTAATAGGCAGGTTGGTTCTACCTGGAAAAACAGTGGGAAGCTTGTCAGACAGTGCCTTTAATGGAAAACTATGTGGTTTTAGCTGGTTAAACATCAAAGGTACCTCAATGTACACTCTTGAGGTCCTCAAGATTTGGCTCTTGTTAATACTTTCCATAATTAGGTAAGCAGGATCTCTCCCTCTAGGAAGAGAGTGCACATTACTGACACAAGGACATTCCCATGTATAAGTGGCAGGCTGATGTGGAACTCTCTGGTTTGGATACTTTTAGGTACGGTTTCTACATGTGCCAGTCACATAGCTAACTGGATAAAGGAATTCAATTTGAAGCATATACTTACGGTTCTCTCACGAGATCCATAGAGTTCTAAAACCTCTTCATAGACACATCCTTCAACAAAGCATTCCTCATGCAGAGTCAGTGGTTCCTTATCTTCACTTTGCAGAAATTCAGAAGCTGTTGATTTCTCAATCGAAGCTAGGCAAGGCCACAGGATATTTATTGATGGACGGAGAAAACCACAGAAACTTGTACTTATAGAATGCCTTTTACCAGGATAAAATGTTTGGAGTTTCACAGAAAGGAGTTGGACACCGAGCGAGAGAGAATAGGGAGGCGGCAGATAACTATAAGCGTGGTTCAAAACGTAGGTTTTTAGGTGGGTTTAAAATATAAAGTGGAAATACACAGAGAGATTTATATAGCTACTCTAAGGCCTGATCATCAAAGATTCAACGATAAATAACATTCATAGTCTTACCGTCCTGGCAATTGCAGCCAGTCAGCATCAATGCTGACAAAAGGAGAACACCGAATGACAGAATGAGCTTCATCTTAGTTTTGAACTGTTGTGTGGTTGCAGTTCAAAGTCAGGACTCTTATAGAGCCTTAGACTGGAAACTTTATGGTGTGGAAATAATCATTTTTCTGCCAAAATAAACACATCATGGGTGGAGTTTTCCTAAGTGAAGTGTTGATTTGAAACTAATAGCACGGCTCCACATTTGTTTGGTTGGTCAAGGTAAAGCCCCATTTGGAAATGGGACATAGTTATTTACTCCAAGCTCCCATCTCTGGTGCGAGTGGAACAGGTTTCACTGAACTAAATGTTCTGATGAATAGTGAGATCACATTTTAAGATTCAAAATAGATGAATGCAAAGTTTTGTCATAGATACCTGTTTTTCCAATCAGCACGTCATATTTGGAAGAGATTCTTTCTGGTGAAACCATCATTCAATGGTTAAGGCTGTATGTCTGGAATGTAGTCATGAGGATGGTAGAAATACTACCATGCATTTCACCCTGACTTGTACAGCTCACCATTTGAGGACTTTCTGGTACCTGCTAGTTATCTAATAAGAGCTCAAACCTGTGCTTATGTTTTGTGACGAACGAGTGATGATTTTTCTTGGAAGGGAAGTAAGCAACTTATTGCCTCCTTCAAGTCGGTCTCAAGACCTTTCTCTTCGACCGTGCTTTTGGTCTCCCTCCCACCTCTTTGCCTTCCCTCACCCCTACACCCCCCTCCTCCCCCATGCTCAGGCCCCGACACCTGACTGTTCAGCGCTTTGGGACATCCTCCCGACGTGAAAGGCGCTCTCTAAATGTAATTTTGTTGTTGTTGTTATTTTGGGGCTGAGTTAGTTCCAAAATCTTCTATTCCCCTGGCAATTTAAGATTAGAATTGAGTTGATCCTCTGAGGCTCTCTCACGGTGCTCCAGGGCATTGTTGATGATGTACCAGCCAGCCTCGCTAATCGGCTGAACTTGGAGGACCGGACCTGTCACTGGGGGCTGGGATTCTTCCCTCTTGGCTCTTGATAAACCTGCAAGAGAGAAGCTTGCCCGTGTTCCTAACCGAAAACTGTATGATTTTAGCTGGTTAAACTCCTGAAGTACTCCCCAATGAACTCTCTGGCATCCACAAACCTTAGCTTTTGCCAACCTGCACCTAAATTCTCTGGAATGATGTAAGTAGGGTGTGACATTCTGAGCAGCAATTGCACACTCCATACTAAAAAACATACTTAAGTGGAGCTCTCAGTAGTTTGGTTCTGAGACCCTTAAATATGGTGATAGGTTTCTCCCTGTGTCAGACACCTGGCCAAGAAAAAAATGGACAAGTGCTAAATAATAATCCTTGTATTTGATATAGCTCCATATCACGTCTTTGAGGTGCTTAAAGTGCTTCACAGGATATACTGTAAAATGAATTGACTACACTTTGTGGGCAAAATGCATCAGCCAATGCACAGCAAAATATGTGAAACACCGTGGAGGAAACAATTAGAGGAGAAAATTGGCAATAGAAAATAAATTTCAACAAAGAACAATACTTCGGATTAAGAAAATTGTGTGTTAAAAACTCCAATGTACAAATTGGAACTAGAGACTTTTAAATAACATTCTTTATTAGATATACATAGAAAACTATTTTTCTGATGCATTTTGAAAAAGCTAACAATTTACTTCTGCGCCAAAGGTGATTTTGACTTTCCCTTTTGTTTGGAACAACTTGACAAATGGGTTTTGCAAATGTCAGGTGTGCAAACAGAGTATTTCTCCCATTAAAGAAAACATTCCACCGAAGAGATTCTGTGCAAAAATTTCCAGTTAATAGAAAAGCACACCACATGTGTGTAAACAAAACTCTCTCCCATTGAAGAAAAACTTCATCCAAAACATTTTGGAAATTTCCACATCGTCATGTCAATGTGCTACATAATAATAATAATCCTTGCATTTGATATAGCGCCTTATCACGTCTTCAAGACGTCTCAAAGAGCTTTCCAGAATATACCGTAAAGTGAATTGATTGTGGGTGAAACACGGCAGCCAATTGCACACAGCCGTATCCCACATAACGTCATGGTTTGAGTGACCAAATTTTAAAAAATTATTATGTTTTGGGAGAAATTATGTGGGCAGGTAGAACTTCCAAATGGGCAATTTGTAAATTGTTTACCACTACATACTTTAAGCACTCTGAGACGCTTCCCCACGTGAAGGGCTCTATACAAACGCAAGTTGTTGTATCGTGCATTGATCAATTCTTTCAAATTCATTTTCAATGCACAAATCAGGAAAGTAATGTGTTGAGCTTTCAAGTCAAAGCAGATGTGGATTGTAGCAATATCCAGGAATCTCAAGCCCCAAAATAGAATCTGTCTGTTCAGGTTGATGTTAACGATCCATGAAACATTTTGAAAAAGGGGAGTTTCTCCTGGTAAAGAACCCCTCCAGAGAAAATTGGCGACTCACTTTCTGGCTATTTGTGGGGCTTTGATCTGCAAAAATTGACTACAGCATGATCTGTAGAACAAGAAGTTGCACTTATATAGTCCCTCCAAGCAGGGTAGTGGCTAAGAATGTTTAACAGTGGTGGAGATTCCTTTGCAGCAATTCCCTATGAAACGCTGCCCAAAGGATTATTTGTATATCCATTATTAAATTTGAAGTACACCAAACAATATTTAAACACAGAATGTAAAATATGTATAATATTTATTTAAAAGTTATAAGTTACAATGATAAAAACCTATAGGTGGCATCAGTATAGTCAAATACATGAACTCTTTCTTTTTTTTAATAATTAGACTCAGTAACCATAGCCTGAAGAATTCATGGACTGTATCTGAATTCTGTACATTTTACACTCAGAAATATTAACAACAATTTCAAAGAAATTCAAAGTCCATTTCAGGAAGAGTGCTTTGAAAGGCGTCAGTAATATGTAACTTTGTTTACTCCAGCGATGTGATAGGTATAACTTACCCAACAGTCAATACCCGTTCAACTTGCAAAAATGCCAAAACATAAGAGATAGCAATGGCAAAAAGGTTGAATGGCAAAAGCGGCAAAAAGTAAAAAGAAAGTTGTTACCACCAAAACAATACAAATTCACTTTTTAAAAAATGTTTCTCAGCTAAACTTCTTTACAACTCTGCCAAATTGAGGATGAGTAACCTTTCATTTCAATCCCACCCCCATCCCCACCCTGGGAATCCATAATATGAAGAGATCAGAGCTAAAAAGTGATGCTTTATATATGTTTTCAAACTCACAACTTCTGCTTAGTAACTTCTTTACAGTAAACCTGATGACTCTATCCTCATGTTGCTTCAGTGCTGAAAGTGAGACCATGTATTACAGTGAAAGTCAGGACATTTTAAAAATGGTGACCGATATTGCTATTTAACCCTCCAATCCTGAATTTACAGAACCAATTCTATTTTATCCAGTAGTTTTGAGCAAGTTAAACATTTATATCAAAAAATGTCAGAAAAAACATTCCTCAAGTTTTTAAAAGGGGTAAATCAGAAGTTTGATTTCTCCCCAACATCTCTTTACATCGCTGTCAGTGACATAGTTTTTTTGAATCTGACATTGCCCCGTCCTATGCATCTATGTTGTGAATCAATGTAGTTATGTTATACTGTTCTGGAATTACAAGGCATTACATTATTGACTTTTAGCCTATAGCTCCAATTCCTGTACAGCTTTTGGTTAACTTAACTCCTATCTGTATGAATCTGTAAGGTGCAAGCTTTTACCATTTATCTCACATTTTTTTGGCTGGATGTTAAGACAAATATTACAATATCTACACAAAATTTATGATGATGCAAATTTCCATTAGGAATGTTTACATTCAAACAATACCAGTGTTTTGGCTAAACTGCAATTCGACAAGAGGCTTACAGTTTCAGTTTAATGCAATCAGCCAACAAGGTAAGACAAAGACAATCCTCACCCTCCCATTGCTGTCCCAGGGAACATTTGTTGGATCTCGCTGCCTGGCGAAACAACACTACTGCAGCACTGAAGACCCATTGCACAAAACTCTTAACATGCAACACTGTCTATGTGCATCATTACTATCATCATTATTGTCACGCACAATGTTTGAAAGAATAGAATTTGCTCAAGTGCAGTCCACAACATAGGATTCAGCACGTGGTGAAGAATGTAGTGTGTTGACAGGTCACTTTCTCTCATGTTAGTAAATCGCATTCCAATTCCATTCAGATTCACATTGGATTCAATATCTGCCTTTATACAGCATCTTTACTGTAAAGTAACACTTTGTTTTAAAAAATATTTTCACCAAGTTAAGTACAACCTTCATCTAAGGTTCAGTGAGTGTCTGTACAACAAACATTCTTTATCACTGGAAAGACTGGCCATTCTATCCAATCACTGTGGAGGGAACACTTCGCATATCGTCATTATCTCAAATAAGACAAGATTGTTAAATGAACGCTATTCACGATGGCTTAGCAAATCAGTCCAAGTGGAAGTGGTGCTGAGCAGAGTCAACCATTCAAATGTAGCCAAGCCAGGCAGCCTCCAAATTACCCGAACATCTCTTCCATGCTGAATGTGGATGTTCGTCTCAAGTTCTCTTTGACTTTAATGAATTCAGGAGCATTCTCTTGTTTCTCCCCTATTCTCTCCTGCTCTCTTTCAATCTGAAAGAAAACAATTATACGAAAATGTTTTACAGACATATTGCAGAGGCTTTGTCCATTGTATGCTATAACTGAACTATAGGATGTGGTTCTTGTACATGCTAGAAGATACAACTGGCATAGAAATTGCTCAAAAACCAATCAGAGACTACTGATTTAAGTCAAACCTATTCTGTCATCTTCAAGCTTCTTGTCATTTTATGTTTGATAGCAGGTTTGAAAAGGAGCTATTTACACCGTAGTATGCTGTGACATGGTAATTATTACCATGGTAATTGTATAATATCTGAAGAAAATAAATGGTGTTTATTTTTTCCCTCTTTCTCCCTCCTCTCCTACAGGTATTAAATCCTGTGCAAGTTGTTGTTGTTGGCTCTATCTCAAATGCAAGAATGATTATTATGGTATTATTAAGATCATTCAGAATTTGGGGTAATTTATAAATTCAGTGAGAAAAAAGATACCAACAAAAGGCTACAAAGAGGAGTGTGATTCTAAAGCACTGTCCAGATCAAACCTGCTCTAGTCTTTGTTGCCTTTTCTGGAGCTGAAGTTCAAAGGGAGACTTCATTCTTTGTGCCTCCTCTTCTTCCTTTTTCTGCCGAATCAACTGATCTCTTCTTCTGTATTCCAGCACTCGTTGCAGCTCTGGCTTGTTGTCAGTGGTCAGGCCTCTGCAAGCAAATACAATCATAGATAAGCTGGCTGGTTAGAGGGATAGGGAATAATAAGTCACAGGACATAATAATATGGAGCCACAAACAATCCAGTAATTACTCATGATTAATGTTAGAATAAGCAGAGCTTCAGATTGATGTATTCTGTTACAGTTACATATGTATTATTTGTCAATCCACAACACAGTTTAAATTCAATAGCTCCCTTATTTCAACCATACACTTCAACTCTCTTTCCCAGAATCCTGTTATGCTTCCCACTTGCTTCTCATCGGTCAATGTCAAATTGCCAATTTAGCCTTAAGGCAATATGCAACAACACAGACATGGCAGTCCAACTCCAACCGGGAAGCTTCAGGGAAAAGGAGATTCCACTGCAAGTAGGAGGATTTAACTTTGGCTAACATCATCTGCCTAGAGTCACTTCACAGAGAACGTAAGGAGATCTTAGGTTAATTCAGTATGATTTACACAGCACTTGTGATTTACACTTGTCCTCTTCACTGGTGGATAGACTCAGGTTTGAGCTTGAACATTACCCTATTCAACATGAACCTTGACTTCCATCTGGGATAGGGTTTTCAGGATTACAATTTTCTTCTGGGCCATAAAATACATTGCCCTAATGGTGTGAGGAAATCACCCCCCCAAAAAAAGAGTTGCTGGTACTAGTTAGAATTCTCTCACCACCTCTCTCTCTCCTCCCTTACCCCCTCTCCATCCCTCTCTCTCCCACTATCACTATCTGCAGAGGCAGCAACCGGCTAAGGATCACAAAAACATAGAATTTGGCCCATCGTGTCTGTGCCAGCTCTTTGAAAAGAACTATCCAATTCAATCCCACTCTCCCGCTCTCTAGCGCTGCAAACTTGTCCTCCCCAAACAATTATCTACTTCTTTCTTAAAAGATAAGTTGTTATCGGCTTCCATCACACTTTCAGGGAATGCATTCCAGATCTGAACAACTTGCAGTGTAACAAATTTTCTCCTCACCTACCCTTCTGTTTCTTTTAACAACTATTTTAAATCGGTGCCCTTGGTTTACCGATCCACCCGCCAGTGGTCATAGTTTCTCCTTGTTCACCCTATTGAATACCCTCATAATTTTGAAAACTTCTATGAAGTCTCTTTTTAACCTTCTCTGTTCCAAGGAGAATAATCCTAGCTTCTCTAGCCTCTCCTGATAATAATAATAATCCTTGCATTTGATATAGCGCTTTTCACGTCGGGAGGACGTCCCAAAGCGCTTCACAGAATACACTGTAAAGTGAATTGACTGTATATTTGTGGGCGAACGCGGCAGCCAATTGCGCACAGCAATGTCCCACAAACAGTCGTAGATTGAAAATGACCAATTTATTATTGTTTTTGGTTTTGGAGGGATTATTATTAGGCTCTGTGTGGAGTAAGGAAACTTGCCCAAGGTTTCGCCCTCTGCCTGGAATTGAACTCAGGTCTCTCGCTTGCAAAGCGAGTGCTCTAACCACTGAGCTACAGGACTCCACCATAATTGATAATTGAAGTCCCTCATTTCTGGAACCATCCTGGAAAATCTCAGTGGTTAGAGCACTCGCCTTGCAAGTGAGACACCTGGGTTCAATTCCAAGCAGGGCAAAACCTTGGGCAAGTTTCCTTACTCCACACGCCTAATAATAATCCCTTCAAAAACCAAAACCAATAATAAATTGGTCATTTTCAATCTAAGACTGTTTGTGGGACATTGCTGTGCGCAATTGGCTGCTGCGTTTTGCCCACAAATATACAGTCAATTCACTTTACAGCATATTCTGTGAAGTGCCTTGAGACGTCTAGAAGATGTGAAAAGTGCTATATCAAATGCAAGGATTATTATTATTATCTCCTTTGTTCCCTCTCCAATGCCTTGACATCCTTCCTAAAGTGTGGTGCCCAGAACTGAACGCAGTACTCCAGCTGAGGCCTAACCAGTGTTTTATAAAGGTTCATCATAACTTCCTGACTTTTGTATTCTGTGCCCTTATTTATAAAGCCTAGTATCCTATATGCTTTTTTAACAGCTTTGTCTACCTTCAATGATTTACTTATATGACCCCCAGGTCTCTCTGTTCCTTCACCCCCTTTAAGATCGTACCATCAGCTTCTATTGCCTCTCCTCATTCTTCCTCTCAAAATGCATCACTTCGCATTTCTCCACATTAAACTTGATCTGCCACGTGTCTGCCCATTATACCAGTCTGTCCCCTTGCAGTCTGTTACTATTCCCCTCAGTGTTTACTACTTTTCCTAGCTTAGTAGCATCTGCAAACTTGGAAATTGCACTCCCTATACCCAAGTCCAGGTCAGTTATATAGATTAAAAATAGCAGTGGTCCCAACACTGACCCTGGGGGACACCACTGCACACTTCCCTCCAGTCAGAAAAACAACCGTTCACCACCACTCTCTGCCTTCTGTCTCCCAGCCAGTTCTGTATCCGCTGCCACTGTCCCTTTAATACCGTGGGCTTCTATTTTGCTTACAAGTCTCTTATGTGGCATTTTATCAAACGCCTTTTGAAAATCCATATAAACTACAGCAACAACAAAATTACATTTGTAAAGCACCTTTCATGTCGGGAGGACGTCCCAAGGCACTGGACAGACAGAGTTACGGATTCGAGCTGGAAGTAGGGGTGGGGGAGGATGGAGGGCAGGGGGGTCTTGGGATGGGTTTGAAGGTGACGAGAGAAGGGGCGAGACGGAGGGACTGCGGGATGGAGTTCTAGACGGTGGGTGCAGAGTGGCGGAAGGCCCGCCCGCCAATAGTGGGACGAGCAAGGTGGGGGACGTGAAGCAGGCCGGAGCCCACTGAGCGGAGGGAGCAAACAGAATGGTAGAGAGTTAGGAGGTCGGAGAGGTAGGGGGGAGCAAGACCGTGGAGGGCTTTGAAGGTGAGGACCAGGATCTTGAACTGTATCCTCTGTGTGATGGGAAGCCAATGGAATTGGGCAAGGATGGGGGTGATAGGGTCACGGAGCCTAGTGCAGGAGAGGACACGGGCTGCAGAGTTCTGGATGATCTGCAGCCTGTGGAGGGAGGAGTTGGGGAGGCCGACAAGCAGTGAGTTTGCATAGTCAAGCCTCGATGTAATGAAAGCATGTATGAGGGTTTTGGCGGCCTGCGGTGTGAGACAGTGGCGGAGCCGGGCGACGTTGTGGAGGTGAGGGAAGGCAGAGCGGATCATGGGACAGATGTGGGGTAGAAAGTATTGTTGAGGGTCAAACAGGACGAAACCTTGGGCAAGTTTCCTTACTCCACACGCCTAATAATAATCCCTCCAAAAAACAAAACGATAATAGATTGGTCATTTTCAATCCATGACTGTTTGTGGGACACTGCTGTGCGCAATTGGCTGCCGCGTTCGCCCACAAATATACAAATGTACAGTCAATTCATTTTACAGTCTATTCCGTGAAGACGTAAAAAGCGCTATATCAAATGCATGGATTATTATTATTATTATTAAACAAGACCCCAAGGTTAAGGATAGGAGTGATGACAGTGGTCTTTAATGGGGTGGGAACAGTACCAGAGGACAGAGAGAGGTTGAGTAGAGGGGCAAGGAGGTGGAGCTGGAGGTAAGGAGAGGGGTAGGGATGGGTTCGAGGGAGCAGGTGGTGGTTCATGCGGGTTATGGTGGTGATGAGAGAGGAGGGGGAGACAGGTTCAAAGGTGTGGAGGGAAGGGTGGGTAGGGGCTGGGGTGGGAGGAGGAGATGGGGGCCCAGCCCTGTCCAGGTGTAGCAGATGCAGTGGCAGAGGCAGCTGAGCGGATTCCCTTGACTTTGGATTCGAAGAAATCCAGCATCTCCTCGCAGTTGGCATTTGAGGTGAGGATGGGCGAGGAGTGAGAGGGTGGGCGGAGGAGCTGTGATGGAGAAGAGGAGCCTGGGGTTGTCCTTAGTCTCCAAGATTGTCTTGGAATAGAACGACGATGTAGTGGAGGCGAGAGCAGAGCAGTAGGATTTGACATGGTCCAGCCAGATCTGCCGATGGACAGTTAGGTTTGATATAAGCCAGGTGAGCTCAGCAGAACATGCCTGGGCTATAAGGGAGGGGAGGTGGCTGGTGTACCAAGGTGATTTGCATGAATAGGATTCGGTTTGGGAAGAGAGGGGAGCGAGGGAATCGAGAGTGGAGGAGAGGGAGCTGTGGAGAAGAGTGACTGAGGAGATTAGGGCATTGTGGGAGGAAGCCCAGAGGGGAAGGAGTTCAGATGATTCCAAGGCAGCCGAGAGGGAGGTGGTGGGGAGATTTTTTTCCAGAAACTGCATCAACTGCACTACCTTCATCCACCCTCTCCGTTATTTCATCAAAAAACTCTCAGGTTTGCTAGACATGATTTGCTTTTAACAAATTGGCTGTCTCGGTTGGCTGTCCTTTATTAACCCATATTTTCCTTAGTGAAATTTTATTTTGTCCAGGATTATAGTCTCTAGAAGTTTCCCCACTACTAACGTTAGGCTGACTGGCCTGTAGTTTATCCTTCTGCCCCTTTTTGTACAGGGGAGTAACATTTGCAACCCTGCAGTCCTCTGGCACCACCCCGATTTCCAAGGAGGATTGAAAGATGTGGCCAGAGCATGCGTTTTTTCCACCCTTACTTCCCACAGTAACCTACGAGCATCCCGTCTGGACCAGGTGACTTATCTAACTTGAGCACTGACAACCTTTTTAGTACCTCCTCTCGGTCATTCTCATCTTATCCAATTTCTCTACCCGCTCCTCCAATACTGTGGTGTTGGCTGCATCCTCTTCTTTTGTGAAGACAGATGCAAAGTACTCATTCAGTACATCTGCCTCCATAAGATTTCCTAATTGGACCCACTCGACCTTTGACTAACCTTTTACTATTTATATGCTTATAAAATACTTTAGGGTTTCATTTTATGTTACCCGCTAATCTTTTCTCATACAATCTCTTTGCCCCTCTTATCTCTTTTTTCAGTTATCATCTGTACTTTCTATATTCTACTTGATTATCTTCTGTATTTTGGACTTGACATTTTTCATAAGCCTTTTTCTGTTTTATTTTAAACCCAATGTCCTTTATCATCCATTGAGGTTTGAATGCCCTACCTTTCCCTTTCGTGGGAATGTATTTGTTCTGACCCCGAACAATCTCCTCCTTGAAGGCTTCCCATTGCTCGTTAGCTGTTTCACCTGCCAATTTTTCCTTCCAGTCCACCTTGGCTCGGTCCCTTTTTTAAACTCACTGAAATTAGCCTCTTCCAGTTGAGTATCTTCACCTTTGATTGCTCTTGACCCTTTGCATAAGTACTCTAAACCTAATGATTTTGTGATCACTGTTGTTCAGATGCTCTCCTACTGAAAACTACTCCACTTGCCCCGCTTCATTCCCCAGAACGAGATCCAGCACAGCTTCCTTCCTTGTTGGGCTGAAATCATACAGATCCAGAAAGTTATCCTGCACACATTTCCAGGAATTCTTCCCCTCCTTGCCCTTTACACTGTTATTTTGCCAGTCTATGTTAGGATAATTAAAGTCCCCCATTATCACTACCCTATTGGTTTTGATCCTTTCTGAAATCCGCTGGCTTTCTCAGGTTTACTCGTTTATCCGAATTACTCTCATCAAATTATTTAACAGAATTCTCACTCTGTTCCACCTCACTCAGTTCCCTCCTCACGCTGCTGGGCTGTCTGCTCAAGTTGCGGTTGGTAGGGTTTGCCTTTCTGACAGACTGCAGTAACGAATGGTATTATTTCCACTCTCCACGCTGCATACTCCCAACTGCTGGCTCCTGCCGCTACCCTGGGAGGACGTTCACCAGGGAGAGAAGGAACGGAAGTTGGAATGTTGGAAATGGTCTTGGACAGGACAAAATCACCTGCCAGGCCGGATGCGGCCCTTGGGCCGCCAGTTGAATCACACTGAGTTAGATCAATGGTACATTGTTAAAATCTTAAAAGTCCCCAAACAAGGTGTCACCTCACCATTCAGGAAAAAACACTCACTGGCAAGTCGAGCGTTAACATAAATTCAAGAGTCTGATAACAAAAGGAAACAAACTGATTTGTGAAGCAAGTTGCTCTATTTCTTCCTCAAGTATATTTGCATTCCTAAACTGATAGAGGTACATGCCTACAGAAGCTAAAACGTTTACTCATACATATTTCAACAAGTTAGAACAAAGCTGATGTTCAAAGCGAGGCACAGTTATTCTAATCACAGGATAATATACTTTCCTTCAGGGTAAATTTACCTCTCCAGCCTGATCTCAATCCCACTATGGTTTTAAACTCTAGCTAAATTGGCAGTCAAAGATGTACAAGAAGGTCTTTTATCTAATACGTGATCCATCCATTGCTCCTTTAGCTTCTCTTTCACTGTTGTCAGAAGGTTGTAGGTTCAAGCCACATGTTGGGATTTTGAGCTCACAGTTTAAGCTGACACTCCAGGCAGTGCTGGGTGTCTGTTTCATTGTTGGATGGTGCCGTCCTTCGGATAAGACAAACTGAGATCTCGTTTGCTTGTTCAGGTGGATGGTAAAGTTTGAGATGTGAAGAAATGAGACATCAACAATCACAATCGTCAGGAGGAGGTCCCAAGGCGCTGGACATTCAGGGATCTGAACCCAAATGATGGTTGGGATGAGGAGGGGTGGAGAGTGGGGAGGGTAGAGATAGGAGGGTGACCGAAGGAACGGTCAAAGAGGACGGTCTTGAGAGGAGTCTTGAAGGAGGCATGTGAGTGGGCAAGGTGGAGGGCAAAGAGGCTGAAAGCCCAACCGCCAATGGTGGGGCTCGCAAGGCGTGAGGGACATGAAGCAGGCCGGAGCCCGCTGAGTGGAGGGTGAGGACAGGTTGGTACAGGATGAGGAGGTCTCAGAGGGAGGGAGGACCAAGGCCGTGGAGGGCCTTGAAGGTGAGGACCAGGATCTTGAATTGTATCCTCTGAGTGATGGGGAGCCAGTGGAGTCGGGCGAGGATGGGTATGATAGGATTGCAGTGCCTGGTGTGGGAGAGGACATGGGCTGCAGAGTTGTGAATAGTCTGTAGCCTGTGGAGGGAGGAGTTAGGAAGACCAACAAGCAGGGAGTTTGCGTAATCAAATGTAAGGATTATTATTAAATAATGCACTTAAATAAAGATAATAAAGATGATTAGCTTTGTAAACTCACTGAACGCATTTGACTCAAAGATTGGACGCAATTTGCATTTTACAAGCTAATCTCAAAGAATTTAGAAACAGAAATGTCCGTCTTGCAAAATAACTTTTGGCATTTAAGTGACTTTGCAAACCTATGTCTTGCTACATCGATGACAATAGATGTCAACAGTGTGTTTTAGACCAGGATAAATTATTGGAAGGTTTTCATATGGACTAGACCAAGGTCAGCAGATAAATCAAGACATTTCCTCACCGCTTGTGGTTCATGAGTAGTTCTCTGTGGAGCTCTTGATGACTTCTGGACAACTTCACTGGATTAAGGAGCTTCTTGGGCCTTATAAGATCAGGGTTGTTATCAAAATAATCAGGCTCTGCCATGAGACTTCTGATGTCTGAGGAATTGCTGTGGTGTTCAGAGTACATAGAGGCTAAAGGAGAAGACAAGATGATTATGTTATTGTCGTCAGGAAAACGGTATTGATTACAAAGGTATCAACATATAAGTCTAGTTATAATTGAAGGAACTACATGCAGAGACCACAGCTATTAGATGTTTCCCTTTTTTGAGACAAATGGAGGAAATGGAGTCCAAATTTACTGGAATTGCTTGACAGGCATTTTAGCCCCAAAAGGTGGCATAGCCATGCTTTATCACTACGTAATGGGCCAAGTGACAATAGCAAGTGGCAGGTCACTGCAAACAAGTACAACAACAACAACAAAATTACATTTATAGAGCGCCTTTCACGTCGGGAGGATGTCCCAAAGCGTTGAACAGTCAGATATCGGGCCTGAGCATGGGGGAGGGGTGGTGTAGGGGTGAGGGAAGGCAGAGAGGTGGGGGGGGAGAGGGTGACCAAAGGCACGATCGAAAAGAAGGGTCTTGAGACCAGCCTTGAAGGAGGCAAGGGAGGAAGCGAGGCGAAGGGAACGTAGAATGGAGTTCCAGAGTATGGGGGCAGAGAGGCTGAAAGCCCGGCCACCGATGGTAGGGCGGGAGACATGGAGCAGACCGGAGCCCACTGAACGGAGGGAGTGGGCAGGTTGGTAGAGAGTCAGCAGGTCAGAGAGGTAGGAGGGGGCTTGAAAGTAAGGACAAGGATCTTGAACTCAATCCTCTGGGGGATGGGGAGCCAGTGGAGTCGGGTGAAGGTGGGAGTGATGGGGCCACGGAGACTGGTGTGTAAGAGTACACGAACTGCAGAGTTTTGGATGATCTGCAGCTTGTGAAGGGAAGAATTGGGAAGGCTGATGAGGAGGGAGTTCCTGTAATCAAGCCTTGAGGTGATGAATGCGTGGGTGAGGGTTTCGGAAGCCTGAGGGGTGAGGCAATGGCGGAGTCTAGCAATGTTACGGAGTTGGTGGTAGGCAGTGCCGGACATGGCACGGATATGTGGGAGAAAGGACAGTTCAGAGTCGAACAAGACACCCAGGTTCCTGACTGGCTTAGTGAGGTTGAGTGTGCAGCCCTGGAGGCTGATGCTGCCAGTGCCCGAAGTGCGGAGGCGCTGGCGCGAGCCAATCAGGAGGGCCTCAGTCTTGCTGACGTTGAGTTGGAGAAAGTTGTCCCTCATCCAGGACTTGATGTCGTACAGGCAGTCGGTCAGGACCTCAGTAGTCCTGGAGTTCAGGGTGGAGGCAGAGAGATAGAGTTGGGTGTCATCCGCATATATGTGGAAATTTACACCATGTCTGTTGATGACGTCACCAAGGGGGAGTATGTAGAGGGTGAAGAGGAGGTGACCGAGGACAGAGCCCTGAGGAACACCGCACGAGACGGTGTGGGGGCTGGAGGAGAAACCGTTTACTACGATGAAGTGGAGGCGTTGTGAAAGGTAGGACCTGAACCAGTCAAGGACAGAACCTTGTGTAGCATTGGTATGAGAAGGAGGTAAAATAAGAACAAGACCAATGACAGAATTTGGAGAGTAAAAAAATGAACCAGTCTTAAAAACCGTACAAAATCCCGTAGGGGCATTTTTATATGATACCAGCTGTACCTGTTGCAGCTTTGCTTGCAACCAAAGGATCCAATAAGGAATGTAGATTGAGACACAGACAGACACAATTACTTATCCTTGAAAGGTTTGATTTTCGCTCAGGCATCTTTATAATAATAAATATAAATGTATAATTTATAATCAATAGGATGTCCTCCCGCGTGAAAGGTGCTTTAAAAATGTAATTTTGTTGTTGTTGTTGCCACGGTTTAGCTTCGTCTGTGTTCTTTATTTTGTTCCTGCTGCTGCTTGGCTATGTGCGTGCTTTGTGATGCAACAGCGCCATGGTCAGCCGGCGCAGCCACTAGGTGTAACTGCACGATACCACAGCACCGCTTTGACTTAGCGGCAACCAGGTGTAACTGTAGTGAAAAACCAAAACTGAAATACATTTTAAGTCATAACTCAGGAACGATAGGATGGAAAACAAATATGCTTATGTCACTCCCACATGCAACACCTTTCCGATAACCTCTATGTTATCGAGATCCTTCTTGAACTGCAGACAGACAGACAAGCATTGCCGTTTTATTAGTACAGAAGATATAGATATATAGAAGATATAAAATTGACATCACCCTTGTAAAATTCTTAATTGTAACTTATTCGCCCACAAAATATACAGTCAATCAAATTTTTCCGGGATATCCTGTGAAGCGCTTTGAGACGTCTCAAGGACGTGATAAGCTGCTTTCAAATACAAGGATTTATTAACTGGTGATGTTCAAACAACTATTAGTTTGTTTTGTAACTTCTGTTGTTTTAGATACAAGACCAGTGTTGATTTATGGTTTGGTATATATTGTTGTAAACACACTACAGGCTAGTGAAGAAGGGACCAACAGCAGCGGATCAGCAGGTAGGGTGAAGTACATGAACAAAACACAAAATACTGCAGATGCTGGAATCTGAAACAAAAACAGAGAGAGTTGGGAAAACTCAGCAGATCAGGCAGTATCTATGGAGAAAGGAAAGTGAGTCAATGTGTCAGGTCCACAACCCTTCGTCAGCATGTTGGGAAATAGACTTTTAAGAACTAACAGTGAGTGGGGAGCCAGGGCAAGGCAAAGGAGAAAATGGGGTAGAGGACAGGGGATAATGGGTTAAAGAGGTGTTAACAATCCAAAACAAAGGGGAGAAATTTGCAACAAAATAGGCAGACAGAGAGAGAAAAGGTGTGTCTGGGACCCAGATGATGCGGTAATGGTCACAGAAGAGGAGGAGCGGGAAGGGGAGCTTTTATAGTCTGAAATTATTGAAATCAATATTGAGGCCAGAGAGCTTGCGCTGTGGTTCATTGGAACAGCGTAGGAGACCATGGATGGAGAGGTCAGAGTGCGAGTGGGAGGCAGAGTTGAAGTGGCAAGAAAGCGGAAGCTCAGGGTTGTGCTTGCAGACAGAACAGAGGTGTTCGGCAAATCGGTCACCCAATCTGCGTTTGGTCTCCCCAGTGTAGAGGAGACCACATCATGAGCAATGAATACAGTAAACTACATTGGTGGTAGTACACATAAATCGCTGTCTCACTTGAAAAGTGTGTTTGGGGCCCTGGACAGTGGCATGGGAGGGTGTGAAAGGCCAGGTATTGCATCTCCTGTGCTGGCATGGGAAGGTGCCAGGGGATGGAGAGCAACTGTTGGTGGTGATGGAGGAATGAACCAAGGAGTCAAGGAGGGAACAGTCCCTTTGGAATGTTGAGAGGGAGGGAAAGATATGTTTGGTAAAACATATCCAACATTCTGATCTTCTTCTGCAGTTAGTGTAGAGGGACAACAACAAATGATATTTGTATAGCGCCTTTCACGTCAGGAGGACGTCCCAGGGCGCTGGATAGTCAGTGATCCGCACCGAGATTGTGGTTGGGATCAGGGGGGTGGAGGGGCGGGGAGGGTAGGGTAGGAGGGTGACCGATGGCACAGTCAAAGAGCACGGTCTTGAGACAGGTCTTGAAGGAGGCAAGGGAGGTAGCGAGGCAGAGAGACTGTGGGATGGAGTTCCAGAGGGTGGGACCATTGTATTCGTCTCTGTGAGTCAACAGTAGGATTCTATAGGTGTGTATGTGTTGGTGTGTGTGCGCATGTGTGAAAAACAGAAGAACTGTTTGTTTTGTGTGTGCAACAGGAGGACACTGGAGGACACTATATTGGACACTGCTACCGCGTTTTGCCCACAAAATATACAGTAAATTCACTTTACAGGGTATTCTGTGAAGCACTTTGAAACGTCTAGAAGACGTGAAAAGCGCTATATCAAATGCAAGGATTATTATTATTATTATGCGTGTGTCATGTGTGTATATATGCATGTGTATGTGTCTTATATATATGCTTACACATCTACACACAGAAAATGCACAACTTTGCTGTTTGTTACACTAACTTCAATTGTTCTCTGTTTTCACTAGTTTGTGCTGAGCCTGGGTCTATTGCTTCAAATAAGTCACACATGATAAGCTAATCGTGTCTGGAAGCTGGATCCCAATCGCCTCCAAAGAAACCGCCTCAATATTGACACAGAATGGATTCTGATTGTTCTACATGACAAACTAGAAAGTAACAAATAGCTGTAACACAAACACAGTGGCCAGAGTCAATGGTGGCTTCGGAAGCATAAGTTTCAGGCTTAATTTATGGAGAATTATGTACTGATAAGTATATTGAACTAGGTTTATTTTTATAAATCATTTATTTTGTGCCACACTATTTTATTTGCTGTTCCGAAGCTTACGATTACCTTTGCCTCTAATTACATGACCCCACTATCTCCAATTTTGGAGGCTCCAGACTGGCACAAATCACTTGTGTGGCTGCAATCCAATGCCTCTGAAAACAAAATTATGCAGATGTCTTTCAACCTATAAAAAAAATACAGAAGTGTTTGGGCTTCAACAAAAAGAGCCTGAAACCATTGTCAGCTCCAGCAGAACCCACAGAGAACTGCACCGCTACTGTTAGATCCTCCGAAAGTTTTAGTTAGACAGTATGGAGATGGTCATCTCACTATGTTTACACTTGGCCTTGATCTTAAATTGCTAATAACACACAATAGTCTCCTTATGTAAAGAAACACAAGATGTGCATCATGCCTGAAAACTTGAACAAGCTGAAGCATGAGCAGAAACGTACGTTCAGGTGGAGAAAATACCTGGATCCAGGCCGAAGACTTTGTTTTGCTTAGCATTTCAGAATGCATAAAATTTGGGACAATTACTAAATCTGTTCTTAATTTTGAAGCCTGTTTTTGTGCAATTCTTACCAAAAAAAAGGCTTCAAATTAAGAATTTAAGTCTAAATGTTAGTCTAAACATAGGCAGAATTTCTCTCCCCAGGTATCCCTTACCTCCCAATTTCATATAAACATTTTTACATTTGAGCTGTTGAACTTCATGTGTGTAGGTTTTCTCAGTTGTTTCAGGGTAAGGGCAATGC